GACCCCCTCCCCGAAAAAATTAAATGGGCACATCTTCATGGTTGAAGCGCCTTGCAAATTTTATAGCACAGATGAGCTACAAGAATATCTGCTGGACTGTTCAGAGTATGACGACAAGAAATTCCTGGACAACGAACTCACCGAGAAGGGATCTGTTGGGCGCAGAAATGGAAAAACCCTTGCAGAATTTAGGTTCTGCTTTCCATCGAGAACTGTCACTACGTACTCTGTATTCAGCTCCGCATCGGCCACGAGTCAAGAGGACGACAGGATCATACGACGTCCACTTATCAGGGCTTGTCCCACCCGCACTCCGTATTGCTACTCTGCAGTACGGGGAGATCCCTCACGCCATGTGGCGTGGCCAGGCCCCTGGAGGAAAACAAACGCCACTACGCAACGGTTTCGAGGCTAATAAGCCATCCGATCTGACAGCTGCTGATCCGTGTGTCTCGGATGGAGCCTGGGACAGCAATTTCATTTGCTACTCGTCATTTTCAACTTCAAACTGTGTCTTATTCCGCTCTCACGAGGCACACAAGTCCTGCAAGGCCCCGATGTCAAACGGTTTTGTGCAACGGCCCGGCTGTTTGCAAAAACGTCCGTCATGTCTCCGTCATACCCTCCCTAGCTTGCCTTCGTGCCCGGACGATTATTTGGCTAGCTGGCATGCACTCGGTCTGGTAGTGTAGCTGAACGTCTATGTCGATTGCATTTTTTTTTTTAAACAATGAGATTGATAACTGGTTTTCTACCTATAATTTATCGGCCCTTGAAGATAGGCTGGATCTAAGCACCAGGGTTGATTTTTGTTTTGGTTCTGCTTCGTTTACGGACAAAAGAAACATGGGCGGGGGCCGGCAAACGAAAAGTTAGTCGATCCGATACTCGCTCCGGCTGCCAGATATAAATAGTGGTAGGTAATGAAAATAAATACGGAGTAGATACGCGTGATCCGATTCTTATCGAACGTTAATATCCTGCTTACAATAAAGTCAATGAATTTGCCTTTTGTTTATTTCTCTTTACATCATCATAATACTTTCGCAAGAGAAACTATGAGCCGAGGTCCTCGAGGCTAAAAAGGGGGGAATATATCGCGGATGTTTGCATTTGCTGCTCTTGGGCGGCGCAACGACACGATGCGATACGAGCGCGATGCAGTGTAGTGCAGCGGAGTGCAGTGCAATTTGCCTGCTTGACATCGAGCTGTCCTCGAATCCAATACTCATCGAGATCCTCGTGATCACGCGCGATCAGGCGTCGAGTCTCGTCTCAGTCTGAGTTTTTGAGTTTTCCAGGCCTCGCTCCTCCGTAGAGTACCGGTATGGTTCCTCTCTCTCTCTCTGTCCCTCTCTCTCTCCTCCCCTACAGATATCACCCTGGATCTTGCGATATCGTACGGACGGAGCATGCCAGAATCACGCAACCAGTCTCCTCTCGTCTCGCAATCTTCAGGATCCCCCTTGGTTGATTAACCGCACAGAGATATCGATCGTAGTCAGTAGTAGATGGGTGTCGGCTCCAAGCTCGAGCGGATCTCGGTCGGGATATGCAGACGTAGGTAGGTACGGTAAGTAGGTACGGTAGGTAGGTAGGTACGGTATCCCTCTTTCACTTTTTCCTTCGGCGCCTGAGCGCGCGCGCGCGGCGCGCGCGGGCGGATGGGGATGGCTCGGGTTGTTTTGAGAAAGGGGAAAATAGTAGTACGTAGTACGTACAGTAGTACCTAAGCGATCGAGTCAAGGGATCAAGCAAACAAGCGAATCAATACAAGTAAATAAATAGAGTACCTAGCTGACGGCCTGGTGGCTCTAAGCGAGTGAATGAATGAATGGCTTCTTTGCTTGTTTTTTCTTTGGAGGGGGGGATGTTGGGGGGGGGTTGGGGGTTTTGGGTTTTGGTATGCTTTGCTTTGCTTGTACTGTACTTAGAGAGGCGGCAGGCGGCTAGAGAAGGCTAGAGGAGGCTCGTCGTCGGTTGGGGTCTATTTCCTTCCCCCTTTTTACGCCTTTCACGAGACGTCGTCGGTCACCAGTCGCGACCGAACTTTTATTCTTGCGCTGCGGGCTTCCTTCTGTGTGCAGTTAGGAGCGAGAGACGCGCGTGCCGTGGACTGGACTGGGTCAAGGCTATCAATATCGTTGTTATTTTTTTTATTTTGATCTGTTGATCTGAGTTTCCTTCTTTCTACCTGCTGGGAGACTCGGATGGTGATTCATGATACTTGGATATACAGTTATGCACACACACTTACACATACACACATACACACATACACACATACACACATACACACATACACACATACACACATACATATATATAATAAATATATATATACACATCAAATTGATACCACCTCCCTTCCCCCCCCCTTTCTATACCCGTGTACGCGAATTCTTCATCCGTCCCTACTTTCCAACTAGACACTATACGAGATCCCTCACTCTCACAGACAGATCAGCACTCTCTCTGGCTTTCCTGCTTTCCTGCTTTCCTTCCTTTCCTTCCTCCTATACCACGCATTCACTCACTCATACAACCCACCCACCAAAGCAAAAGCAAAAGCAACCCCCCTCCTTTCCGTCTCTCCCTCACAGAAAGCCTCGAATGGCAGCAGCTGCAGCAGGCACAGCTACAGCCATCCAAGACGGCGAGAAACTCAGCGAGAAACTCACCACGACCGCCAGATTCGCCCCGAGCCAGGAGACACTCGTCCCCCACGCGCAGCAGAAGCAGAAAGGCCGGAGTCGAAGCGCGTGGATTCCTGTCTCTGGCGCTGGTGAGGGGGGGTGAGAGATTGGGGGGTGAGGGGAGTGGGAGTTGGGTGCTGAAAAGGCGCTTCTTGAGGCTAAGTCGTGTGTGTTTTGGGAGTGGGGAGGGGGTTGGAGTGAGGAGGAGGAGGAGGAGGAGGAGGAGGAGGTTGTGGGCGCTCGGCTACTTTTGGCTTGAGGTGGATTGATGGGTGGGTGGGTAGGTGGATGGATGGGCTTGAAGCGGCATAGTATAGTAGATCTAGGATGAAAGGGAGCGGTAGAGGGGGAGGATGGTTTTTCGTAGTGTGGTTAAGCGAGTGAGTGAGTGAGTGAGTGAGGCCTTCGGATGGATGGAGAGACTGATCTACGGAGGCGAGATGGGATGGGATGATTAAAGGTTGCATAGCTGCTCAGATATGCATGGATAGCAAGTACGATCCTCCCTTGCTGGATACTCATCTATCTACCCAACCCCAATAAGATGCGACCTTTTCTCCTCTCTCTTCCCGTTTTCTTTTCCCTTTCTTGACTTGTCGCTTGTTAGCTAGCAAGCTAAGTAGCCGGAGAAAACCCACATGTTAAACAGAGAGGGAGAGAGGGAGAGAGAGATAAAAAGCAAGGCTGGAATCAGATTCACGGTCAAACTCGCGCAAGGAAATCAGAAATCAACCATGAAGGTATAGAAAAATCTATGAATCGGTGAACTAAATTTGGTTATTCCTCTCGTGTTGTATAATCTGTGTCTATCTCGGGGGGATTGACTGGTGTTCTGTTCTGTTTTGTCTTTGTTTTATACGTTGTTTTTGTCTTGTCTTTGCTTTACTTTGTTGTGAGTTATGGACGTGGGACTTGAGAGGTATGCTTGTGTGGATATGTGTGTATATATATGTGTATATATGTTTATGCATGCTTATAGACTTACAATACTCAAGCTCGGAACTACAAATTGCGAACTGAATTATAATGCAATGTGCTATGGTACCATGTGCTATGATGCAATATGCTATAATACGATATGCTATAATGCAATATGCTATAATACAATCTGCTATAATACGATCTGCTATAATAAGATATGCTATACATGATATGCTATACACAATATGCTATACACAATATGCTATACATGATATGCTATAATGCAATATGCTATAATACGATCTGCTATAATGCAATATGCTATAATACGATATGCTATACATAATCTAATCTGATACAATAAGCCCAAGTCTATCATTTATTTACACTCATTCGCTTACCTATTCCATGATAGAGAGGTTCATTGATAGTGCGTAAAGCATATAAAGCCAGCTCAGTTACCTTCAGTGTTACATACTGTCCAGGAGAGTACTGAAGTTTGTTTATAAAATCACATCATGTGTCTCCGTATGCGCGATGTGTTGTACCTTTTACTCCCCCCGTGTTCATCCTTCCCCCTTCCCCCTTCCCCCTTCCCCTTTCCCCCGCCCCGGCCCACCCATGCACCCGATCATCACGGAAGAGGCTTACGGATAGCTACAAGCCACACCCGCTTTCTGCGGCAGACTCTCTCGGAGAGTGGGATGTTCTCTCGCTCCAGCAGACATGTGCATGCGTTCGTGCGTGCGGAAGACCTGCGAGGTGCGTGTATGCAGCCAGCAGCCAGCATGAGTGTACCTACTCTGTAAGTGAACGCGAACGCCGTGGGTCGTCGCCTTTCCCTGCCTTGGCTGCAGCCGCGCGGCCTGGAGAGTTTCCTACGCTCTCTACGCTGTACAGGTAGTAGTACGTACGTAGTAGCTCTGGCCTACGAAGTGTTGACACTTTGCGGAATCGGGGTGTGTGTGGCGGAAACAGTGCGCGTGTGCGTGCGTCCTGGCGGCTATTCAGTATGGCATGCTTTTGCTACTTGTGCTAGTTCTTCTGCAGTGTGCGTGCAGTCTGCAGGGCCCGGCTGCCAAGGTGCGCAGTTCAACGCAGGGGGAGAGGGTTTTGGCCGAGGGTTCCGATTCCGGTTCCGGTTCTGGTCATGATTATGGTTCTGTGGCGTATGTATAGACGAAAAGGGGATGGGAAGGCGGTAATGCGGTAATGCGGTGCGGAGTTAAAATATAGCATATTTACGTAGTATTATTTTGAAGGTTAATCTTTTAAGCGAAGAAATTCGGGTGTGTGGACGTACGTGACAGACTCGGGGTGAGGATAGCAAGGCAGACTCGGTCGCAGGTCATATACAACGAGGTTGAGCGGCGCGGACGTTTATGAAGGCTTGGTCTGGGACTTCATTTTCTGTGCATTGGTATTGCGGCTATATACTGACCCGAGCCGCGTAATGCTATTGCCATTGTCATAATAAGGTTCCGTATGAGCGCAGGTCCTGGCATCTGCTGTGCCTTGCTAGCGCATGTTGCCATAGAAAGCGCAAACCTTTAAGAGTATTTGTTGCGAGCCGCAAATGTCATACATATTGCTGTGATAAGAGTTTGAGCGGGCCATTGGAAGGTTGCAAGGTTGCTGCAAATGGTAGTTGGCTTTGATACAGCTGGTCAGGCTTTGTAGATATGCTGCGCTATTGTTGATATGATATTGAAATCTCGCGTCTAACGAGCCGGAAAACACACCGCTTCGGTTGGGAACTCTTAGTCGGACTTGCAGGCCGAAATGCGACCTTGTAGTGCTAGAATTAGAGTCAGTTTGACGCATTTACTATCAAAGGGCAAGACCTTCCAACATACCTTCAGCGCTATTGACCTTGGAACGTGCCCAAAATAGTACTACGAATTACGCACGATGATAAGGATTTCGTAAATGTGCTACCCGGACGAAGCGTTGGGCTTGCGAGTTGAGAACAATAGTGGAAGTTGGGGATGGCTATCCAACAGTCTATCGGATCGCGTTTCCTGGGTCTGAATACTCAACTGAAAGTCAACAGGCAGGCAACATCAAGTACCAGGCAAGCAGAGTGAAGACTATCAAGCACTTAAACAAGATCCTGTGACTGCCCCTCTCAGATTCAGGAGATACATCCCCAGCTGGGCAACAAGACTGTAGGTAGGCGGACTTCTGCCTCGCACGTTGATTTTGCAGGCCACTTCTGAATGATGAGGCCTTAAGGTTTCGAATCAAGACTTGCTACTCAAAGCCAGCTCGACAGAAACGCAGGAAAGATTCTAGAATGATCGCAACGACAGGGGACGTTAAGTAATCATATTCCCTGAGCCATCATCATTACGAGCCAAGGGAAAGCAAATATCAACGGCACTGATAGAAAAAGAAAAGCAAGATGAAACGCGCAAACCAACTGCCGCAGCGTAGCATCGCCCTAGCACTCGCTTAAGGTTGAGGCATGAAATTGCTTCGCTACATAATCTCTATAGTCTTCAATGAAATCGTAAAGAATTCAATGCTTTAGTTTGAAGTCTTGGATTCGAAACTCTCGTAGCTAACTAATCTGCGAGTCTTTTCGAACTCAAGGGGGGGGAGGGGTGGGGGTCGTTGATTAAGGAGTAACTTGCATCCACGGAATCTGATCCAATACTGGCCTAGCAGAGCAGACGACTTGATCTGACATGATAAAGCCACGCCATATCAAGCCAAAAAGAACTCAATAAAGAGTTCGATAGGCTTTGCTAGACTTCAAGGACCATAGGTCAGCGTTGAGGAGGCTAGCAGCAAACTTCGGAGACACCTCCGACTGGCGCAATTCTGGAATTTTGACAACAGGCATGACACATTTTTGGCGTCAGGCTTTCGCATCTTCCGGTTACTACCTGAAGTTTAAAAAAAGGGTTGTGCATACTGACAGACCGCATCGCTTGGATCTGCGGTAACTCAGAACTAGTAGGTATGGCTTGGAATATACGTAGTACTACGTACTCACGTACAGTGACTTTGCTCTTGGCTAAAGCTCAATAGCATTTCCATCTTGCTCATGATCGACCAGCAATACCAATCTCATCATTGGACTCGATTTCTCGTCCCAGCTTCCCCGTTGACAGGCTTTGTAACGATATTTGGCCAAGGCAGGATAGGCTTTCCGGGATAACACAAACAGTAGGTAGGTACGTAAAACCAGCCACTATAAGCATCCTTTGGTAAGTCTTCGAAATGAGTACCCGAAAAAGAAGACAAGCGCAATGCCGAGATGACAACGAGAGGTTCAGGTTCTCGAGTATGTTGTTGACAATGGGAGTCGGCCAGCGCCTTTTCAGTTCGCGAGATGAGCTCTTTGAGACGAAGCCTGTCGAGATGTGTTGTGCGGAACAGCCATGCTCTATGACATGCCTCAGGCTCCACCCAATCTCTGGCTCACATGACCTCGCCTAAATGGCGCACTAACGCACTGAGGTACCGGTAGGTATACCGGTATACGGTATATACCGGTAGTGGTAGTATTTTGTATCGTCAATCCCCTAGATAGAATTACCTGTGCACAAGCTTCATTTAATCTACGGAATCCCCTCCTACCTTGGTGAACCATTTGCACCATAATATGTCTTTATGAGCCCCATGTTTTTTGGAGGGGGGGGGAAGAAGCTAGAGGCAGTGTATTCTCTGTCTAAGCAGATATGATGAAGATGAAAATTCGTAGACAATGTATGAGGATGTGAGCAAGACAGATGCTGCATTAACATATATCTCAATATATCACGTGCTACTTGCCGCTAGCACGCATTTGCCAGCGCGGGGGGAGTCAGCTCCAATGATCGCTTAGCTATCGCCGGCAGCAGCACATCATCTACAACCACAAAGACGTATGGTGGTAGTACTTGACAGGTAAAACATACTATTAAAAGTATATCTCTTTCCTATCTACTTTTTTTTGTTCTTTCATATCTGCTTTTCATTAATTTACCTTCTAATTTCCATTATGTCTTTCGATTCTATACCTATCTTAGACCTCGAGGAAGCCAAAGACCCCTCTACCAAACCCAAGTTTTTAGAACTGCTTCGGCATGCTCTACTAGAAGTTGGCTTTCTGTATCTCAAGAATGTCGGCATACCAGACGAACTCACACAACAAGTCATAACGGAAGCAATATCATTCTTCGAATTACCAATGGAAGAGAAGTGAGTGCTACCCTCCTCACAAACTCCATCCAACGACAATGACAATGACAACGAGGACGAGGACGACAAGCCAACATCCACTCCTCTTACAGACTCCGAATCGAAATGAAGAACGCCCCCTCGTTCCTAGGCTATTCCCGTCTCAACGCCGAAATAACAGCACACACCATCGACCACCGCGAGCAAATCGACCTCTCAACCGACCACGCAATCCGCACCCCCGACCAGCCCCTCTACCGCAACCTGCTCGCGCCCACGCAGTGGCCATCTCCTTCTCTCCTCCCAAGCTTCAAACTCGTATACAGCGACTACATCTCCCGCATGGGCGCCATTTCCATCTTCTTCACTTCGCTAATCGCCGAAGCGATCGGGTTACCCGCCACAGCATTCAACAAGTACTTCGACGCGGAACAGCAGCACAAGTTGAAGGTTGTGAAATATCCCGACCTGAAGGAACTCGGGCTGTGGAAGGAAGGGGAGGCAGTGCCGGAGGGACAAGGGGTCGGTCCACACAAGGATAGCATGCTGACGAGCTATCTCTTGCAAGTGACGAAGCACAGGGGACTGCAGGTGCAGAATTTGACGGGGGAATGGATCGACTGTCCGCCAGTGGATGGGACGCTGGTGGTGGCTATCGGACAGGGCATGGAAGCTTTGACGCAGGGCGTCTGTATGTCGACTACACATCGAGTGTTGTCTCCTGCGCCGGGGACGGGGGCGAGGATATCAGTGCCGTTCTTTCAGGGCGTGAGCTTGGATGCCCAATTTGATGAACTGAATGACTGGGAGAATGGTGGGGGCGTCGGCTGCGTCCCAGAGGCTATCAAGGAAATGCGGAGGAGGGTTGTGGCTAGGAATGGGGGTAGGCTGGATGATGTGGAGTTTACGTTCAGTGGGGGCAATGGGTCGAAGACTTTGGGCGAGGCGACGTTGAAGAACAGGGTTAAAAGCCATCCGGATGTCGGGGAGAGGTGGTATCCGGATATCTTGGCTGGGATTAGAGAGCAGCAGAAGAGGGAAAGGGTGGAGGCTGAGGAGAAGACTGATATGTTTGTCTCAAATAGGATTCCTGTGACTGATGACTTGTCACCGCTGTTGGACCTCACTGACAGAAAGACAGTCATTTAGATGCACTTGCCCATGTTGCTCAAAGTCGTGTCGGAACTGGGCGGCTGATCGACTCCCACTGGAATGACTTTGGGCTAGGTGCTTGATCTTCTTCCGCCAAATGTGGCACATTGGGAATATGTCTTTGCTTGTACTTGTCGAGGACGAAACAATTGCCTTGAACCTCGGTAGTAAAGAAGCACTTGCTCTGTTTCGTCTACCGGTGATTCGCAGTAATAGGCGAGGCTGTCCAAAGCCACTGACTCGTGTTCCAAACACCTACTCGTATCCTCATTTCTCTAGTCTAGATGCCAGAAAGCATAATCCAAGAACTCAAGGGCTGTACCAAAGCCATGTATCGTAGTACATCGTAGGTACAGTTCATGCGTAGCTTTACGTCTATTCATCAACCCCCCATGCGCCAGTCGCTAGAAAGCCTGTAAACAAATCTCGTCTTCGCCCACCTCCGCTTTTTATGGTTCCTGAGAGAACACCATTCCTGTACATAGATGTTCCTTTTCACCAAATATCTCTGCCCCGGTCCCTTCCCTGCATCTACTTCGCCGGAGCCGCAACGAAAGTCGGGAAGCACTCCGTGAGAGTCTTGCTATGCTTGTTGGTGGCATGATCGGTCAGACTGTGAACAGAAATTACATCAGCACACAGATACGCATATAATATAGCGTAGGTCTCCGGGAGCATCCTCTAACTTCGAGGGTTTGGATTTAGAATGGAGAGAAGTTGGGTAGGTAGCGTACGCTGGGGCGCGCGAAGTCTTCAGGAACGTGGACTTGCAGATGACACACTGGATGTCCATCGCTTTCTCGTTGACCTTGAGCTGCGACTTGGCGACGACCTTGGTCTCGCCCTTGCGGTCGCGCTTCGAGGCTGCTTTTGCTCCCTGGTGCGCTTGTTAGTAACTCTATCACCGTTCGCTGGGTAGGCTGGAAAGGGGAGATGGGGCGTACGTTTCCCATTTCTTCGGTTTGGGATTGGTCGGGAGGATTTTGTTTTGGGATCGGGAGTGTGGTTTCTGCAGTAGAATTTGGTTGAAGTCTGCGATGGAGGGGTATATCCGACGCCGCAAAAAGGTCGGCCCGGCCCAGCCACAGGACTAGCTCACCGCCTCTTGATCCAGTCATCACATGACCATGATTTAGCACGGATTACCGCTAAACCCCTGTCACTTCGCTTTACATAACAAACGCTGTCGCGTCGAGGCGCGTTCCTGCCGAATTCTTCTCACACTATCTCTTGACAAAACAAATTCACCATCCACAATCAATCCCCTCGACTCTTGATCCAAGAGCCATTCATACTTGCGTAAAACAACCTTCGCTCCTAAGTTCGAGTCTGGAAATTCCGCGACAATGGCGTCGTCGATTTCTGCGGACGAGTTCAAGGACGCTCTCGCTCGGTACCCAGCTGTTATCCAAAAGTTCAGCAAGACTCGTATGTACCATTACTCTCCCTTTCCATATCCTGTTTCTGGAGACGTTTGCGACTGTGTTACTGACGCGTTTGATAAATAGGTAAGGCTGGGTCTGCGTCGCTGGAAGAACTGGACAAGTTCCGTTACCAGGTTGCGCCGATCAACTTCTCGATGAAAACAGGAAGACTCATGGCAATGGATGACTTGAAGAAGCTGGTTGAGTGGAAGCTGTAGGTTCTCCCCGCAACGCATGAAAATTTCAGTTGGGTTTGGATTTGTTATGATCTGAGGCGCGTCGGGGATTTCATAGGCCATGGACTCGTGTTCCGATCTCAGTTGCTCTTCAGAATGAGTTGACACATCTTGACTAACAGCTGTCTAGTAACCACGGCATTTACCGCCCGACAATGACGAAGATGATTGCCTCCAACACCAACGAGAAGCTCGAGGCTGCTACCACAGCCGCCTTCGCTGCCTACGCCAATGGAGAATCCATCTCAGCCGTCATCGAAAAGATCAAGGAGCCTCTCAAGGGCGTCGGACCAGCAACTGCATCTCTTATCCTCGCCGTCCACGACCCACAGAACATCATCTTCTTCTCGGACGAGCTCTTTAGATGGTTGACGGCTGGTGGAAAGAAGGTCAAGATCACATATTCCACGAAGGAGTTTGAGACGCTGTTCAAGGCCGCTGGTAACTTCATGTCGAAGATCAAGTGCACACCAATTGAGTAAGGACAACTGGCGAGTAGCTATTCCCAGTATCTTGGAAGCACTTCTTTCTGCCGAAAGTACTCCCAAGACACTCCAAAACAAACAGTTGCTAACTTCCCGATCATTTAGGTTGGAGAAAGTCGCGTTCGTGCTGATTAAAGAGAATGAGCCTGTTCATGAGCCTAAGCCTAAGTATGAGCCTAGCGGTAGGCCTCGTGGTCGCCCTGCAATGGCTGAGAGCGAGAAGAAACCTAAGAAGCCTACTGTTCCTGGTCGTGGTCGTGGCCGTCCTCCCAAGAGCGATGCTGAGAAAACCGCGGCTGCTAAGACCAAGGCTGCTTTGAAACCTGCCCCAAAACCCCAGCCAGCTAAGATCGAGAAAGCCCCCAAGACCAACCCAGCCAAGGAGGCCAGCACCCCCAAGAAGCGTGGTCGTCCAGCAGCTGCTGACGTAGAGGAGGAGAGCAGAACCCCCGCCAAGCGTGGCCGTCCATCTAAGGGCGAGGCAGAGGAGACTGCTTCAAAGAAGCGTGGTCGTCCCGCCAGCGTTGCCCCTCACACCAAGACGCCATCGAGCATGAAGCGCGAACGTCTATCCTTGGCCTCGGCAGCTGAGGAAAAGACCCCAGTAACCAAAAAGAGAAAGACATCCGCTACGCCTGCTTCGTCTGCGCCCGCGTCTTCGGCAAAGAAAAGCGGCAAAAAAGCCAAGGCTTAAGCTCTCAGCGGATCGGCCTGCCCTTGGGAGAACAACCGGGGTCTTTGATGTAGATTCGTTTCGGATGGATGGATGGATGGACGGACGGACGGACGGAGTTAACTGGTCGAATTTTGCATTTCCGAGAGGCTAGGGAGCACGGCTTGCACATTGTACACGTGCGCGCCGGAACAAAATAGGAATGATATTGATTCTCCTTGACATTGATACTACTGATTTTCTCCTGTGACCTTTTATCATTTTTGATCACGAAATTCGGTTGGGTATCCTCTAGAGAAGGCTTTCCTTACATTCTCTAGGTGTACTGTATAGGGCTTATCCCCCCGCCCTCTTGAGTCAAGCCCTTTAACGCACACATACCACGTCCCTTCCTTTCGCATCTCCTCCGGTACCGACCGACCGCATCTACGACTCTCTGTCCATTTCCGTCTCCGCTGATCGCAAGCAGCCAAAGCACTCTCTCCCAAGCCCTTGATACCATCATAAGATATCTAGCCCGAGACAGCTTTAATCAATCAAAGAAATAGATATCAGAGTATAAATG